AGCTTCCACCACACGACACCACTTCAATAACGTTGATGCCTTCCTTAATTCACTCTTCAATACATACAACATCACTACTAATTAACAACAAACATATCACTAGTATAGTTCACTGGATAAAATTCATCAACTTTTACACAAACTTATTCAATACCCTTTTAACTCATATGTCAATCTTCAAGTCTACAATATTCGCTGACCTCGAAACCGTTATAAAGTTAACAAAAAACTAAAAAAACCTGACCAACTCAAATATAGAGCCCTATCCACCTTCAGAACCAAAATCATTACCAACCAGCTACCCATCAGATCAAAGATAAATAAAGATACCCTAGCTTATACACTGATAACCTATGCCCCAGATGCGAAGCCTTTACCGAGGACATTCCACATATCTTCTCGTGCTTACATAGCCGCCCTCTCATTAACAAGAAAAAGTCCAAGCTACAAAAACTCATTCTCGAGTCTAACAATGAAAACCCAATAACAGCAAATCCAAAGAACATGCTCAATCCAACAAGCCAGGACCTACTTCTCCTTGCCACATGTAACTATCAAGCTAATTTCAACCACATTCAAAAAAAAAGAGAGGAAATTTCTAACTATGCATTGAAAATTCTTTACAAAGTTTGGAAACAACGATCCGCAACCTCAACAACTTCACCATCCTCAGAAATAAAATGGAAAAAAACATCAAGCACCAACACCAGTAGTAGTAACAACTCAATCAAAAATGACAATTCAGTATTTACCAAAGTACTTAGTATATTACAAAACTCAAACAACCTCACTAACAAGCAAATATTTACTCCAGCAATAATCTCATCGTTCTGAACAGGCATTAGCCATTCAGCACCAGTTACATAAATCCACCTACTTGGTGAAAATTCGTGTAGTTAGTTTAGTTGCAATAGGCTACAATTAATTTGTATTTACCTCTTCTTACAAAGATTGTTAATATAATGACAGTAAACTCATTGTTTAAATAAAGTCTCGCATTTAATGCCTGTTTGCGATTTAAAAAAAAAATAATAATAATAAAAATAATAATAATTATAAATATATATTTAATTTTTATTATTATCTTCTATAATCACCTTTTGCCTTAATAATAATATTAATTCTTTATGCATTGTTTTTATATATTTCTTACAAGTTTTTTGAAATATTTTATTTCAATATCTAATAAATTTTCTCAAAAATTTTCTTTGTTATTAATTGTAATCTCTATATTATTAACCTTTTTTTTTAATATTATTTCAGATATTTTTTATTGAATTTAAATCTGGAAATTTTAATAGCCAAAAAATTTATAATTTTATTATTTTTTAATTATTTTGGAACTATTTTAACCTTATATTTTGAATTATTATTATGTTAAAATATAATATATTTAAAAGCTAAATTATGATATTTTAATGAATATATTACTTCTTTAAAATTTGTCCATAAAGTTTAGCATTAAGATTTTCTTTAATAATAGATAAATACCATATATTGTAATAAGCAAAACATTCTTATATATTAATGCCATCTTTATCAAATTTAGTTGTAGAAATTATATATTGATTTTTTAAAGATTCTATAGCTTTTCTCCAGCTTCAAAAAGTTGAAATTTAGTCATATTAAACTAGACCACCATACTCTAATCTTCCATAGTCTAATTTCTATGTAATTTTGCAAATTCTAATCATATTTTTTTGTTTGCTACTTAAAAAAGACTCGTGCACCATATACAGTATAAGCTTTAAATGTATTTTTCTTGAGAATTATTGTAATTATGTTGACACCAATATTTATTTTTTCATATTTTTTCAAGGATATATATATATGTTTGGCTGTTTTGCATTATTTTTCTAGAATTTTTCATATAATAATATATTCTTCCCATAGAGTAAGTTTAGGCAGATGATTAGAACAGGTTTATTTTCTAATTTGTTTGTTTCAGGATATTTTCTTTTAAGTCTAGATATAGTGGAATAATGAAAATTGGTATCAATTTTGACAGCAATCTGATGTAAATGATAACCTTCTTCTAATAAAGCAATAGCATTTACTCTCTTCTCTATAGATAACTGTTTTGAGAATATTTGGTTTATACAAGGTTTGAGTAAATTTTTGCATTTTTATATTTTTACAAAAAAATGCCAAAGTCATGCAACAGTAAATTTTTATTAATTGCATCATAAAAAATTTTTTTATTATTTTAATCACTATTCTACTGTATACATTGAATAGATTAGACTACACACACTGTATGTACTATTAATTTTGCTGTGATTTGATCTGGTCTGATCAAAATTTTAACGCTTAAAGATCGACAATCAGGTGTTGCGTCTTTTGGGAGACAGTGTACCTCATCCATCCATTTCCAAATGTTCTTCGCAATGCTTGGACATTGTGATAAATAGCTGATAAAGAGAATTGCTAAGGGTTGGATTATAAAATAGCGCAGATGCTCAGAGCTTAATACTAAGTTAATTTTTCATCTAAAGAGTAAAGTAGGTGAAAACTAACAATCAAATAAAAAACATTATGTAATAAATACGTTTTATATACAATGCATTCATACAGCCCACTCGAAGAAGCAGATGCAATTGCTGAAATCTTCGAAAAGCAACCATCGAAAGCTCTTAATAAATTCTGCTGGATAAATAGGACTTTTCATAAGAAATCCAACACAAGTTCGGTGAGGATGGAAGATACAGGTGCTAGCATATTATAAATCGAAACAAGAAAAGGAGTTGGAAAAGAAAGAGATAGAGAGAAAATATCCTCATTATGATTTCATGCAAGAATATTTAAATTAAGAAATAGAGAGTTATTATACCGAGAAGGTAATTGAGACGGTTAAAAACAGGTGGAGATCAAAAGCTTTATGCCTCGAAATTGCATACTTTACGGGCAAGAAAAAGAAATAGTTAAATTAGTAATATTGTAGGAGACAAAAATAAGAACGCGACTAGAGTCAAGTGACCGATTATGATTAATTAATGACAAACAATGGAAGGATATATTATGCCAACCTCTGCCCAGAGCTAGCATAAATATTATAGATTTTTTTTTCTGGCGCAATAATTATTTATTTAAGAAAAATATAAGCCGGGCTAGATAGCATTCATCTCGAGATTTATTTGCGGTGTCACGATAAATGATCAGTTATTTTTTCCCGGATATATAAAGAAAATGTCTTCTAAAAATATTATATTTTGAAAAAGAAAAGATATATCCTGTTGAGGAGCTCAAAGAATTTATTATGGCGTTGGAACGTGATATAACTAAAATACATCAAATCTTAAAATAATTGCCGGAGAAATATACTATCTATATGATGGTATGAAGTTCTGCGAATCATCCGGATATTCTGAAGAATATGATGATTGTACAGATATACAGTATATGGAAAAGGTAATCGTTCAAAAAAAAGGGAAGTACAATCAAGTAGTGTTAAGATTGTAAAGTAAAAGATAAATTAATTGGATAAATTAATTAGAAAATCTAAGATAATTGGCGTGAGACAAAGGTAAGTTTACTACTTTACTAACCCCACGCAGTATTTATCATTATGCAATCTGGTCAAATATGAACACGCATATAATAGGGTAACAGGTTGTATCACTGTCAAGAATATAAGGCAGGTTAGATTTGTAGGCGTGTTCGATTACCCCGATTAAGTGAGTACAGTATCTAGAGTCGGGTGCTCATAAATAGAAAAGTATGAGATTTAATGGCAATTTCACAATATGGAAGGATAATATAATATTATAAAATATGTGATAAAAATATTTAAAATGTTTTTAGCAGGGGTTGCGCCTGAATTTTGACAATATTCTATACTATTGATATTAAATCAACGTTGGATAAATTAGCACGAGAGCCAGAAAGATTGGCTCGGAGGAATTTGCTGAGTCACATATTATGCGACAAAATAAATGATCACACAAGCAGGTATGTATCTAAAAAGAAAATACAGTAATTATGCTATAATCCAGAATATTTATGATGTATTCATCATATTGTTTAAGGGCCGGTGCGATTCCTCCCTTTAAACGCGATCTACATCAATATCTTTTATTGGGTTCATTTTTTCTTAGCAGCCGACCCTTTCTCATATATTCTTTACAATAAAAAATGCTTTATTTATTTTAAAATGTGGGCGTTTTGTAAATGCAATGCAATAAATCTATACATGTGTTATTCAAATGATTATCAACACTATAATAGTATACTAATAATTCCCGATTTATAATTTCATTTGGGAGAAATACATAATAGTGTCATTGTGTATATCAACCAAATGATTCCTGATTCATAATTTCATTTGAGAGAATTAAATAATAGAGCCATTGTGTGTGTGGACAACCGAAGAACTGCTATCAAATAAATGATTTATAATAGAGTATAAGTAACATTGTTTTTTATTTTGGTGGTGACTGTTGTTGTTGTAATATAAAACCCGTTTGAACAACCTATTTTTAATTTCATTTGAGATAATCTTCCTTAAATTTCAATACTGTATCTCTATCATTTTCTAAAACCTAATGTATTTACAAAATATAATAAAGAAACGAAGTGCTTTAATGCTTTTAACCTACACGTAGGTATTTTATGTTATATGCGTAATAGTAAAGCTATTCGTGTATTCGTAATTTTACATAATGCTGTTTACTGTAGCTGTAAGAAAGATTGAGTTTCTGATCAAGTATAGCAGAGGCGTAATTGCGTAAATATTTACGACAATCAGTTTTTCTTTGTGTTCTTTGTATTCAAATTTGGGATAAGATAAGATATATTTGATTAGAAAAATAATAGGTCAAATTTAATTGTTTCTTATTATTTGCTACCAATATTGGGAATGGATTAGAATAAAGAATGTAAGGTTGGCCCATTTCATCTCAATTGATTAATATATTTTCTTAAAAGTTTAGAATGCTATAAAAATAGCTGATACAGGAGTATCCTTCGTTATACTGTACAAAAGAAATTAAAAAAATAAAAAAATGTCTTCTGAACATGAAACTGAGGAGTATATGAAAAGTGCTGTAACAAATACCGACGTTTCTGATGGATATTCTAAAGAAACAACCTATGCTCTCATTGACGAGTATGAAACTACAAAACAAGGAGTGGAATTGCTATTGGAGATTTCCAACAATGTCGACACCATCGACACCAGCGATACTAGCGACACCAGCGATACCAGTGATACCAGTGATACCAGCGATACCGGCAATACTAGTAATTAACAATCAAAGTCCACCAATGTAACCTTTTTATTTACGCGAAATTATCACGCGTTTTTATTTAGCAAGCAGGATGAATATTAAATATTTCTTGCGACGTTTTTATATAAAGCAATGCTCTCTTCACTTCTTCAAACTCCATTTTTAATCGTCATCCTATTTATCTATTTTAAAATATTTATATTTTGGAATATTTTTTTGCATAATAAATACAAGTTTTATGCACAAGCTATATTTTGCTTTTTGCATACGAGAAGTTTGAAATTTTTTTAATATTCATAAAAAGGAAATACGTGAATAATATATACTGCGCCCGTGACATGTATGCCACACATCGAAGTGAATATATCTGTTATGTAACCAAAAAGCATATTACGTATGCCAGATAAGCTCCCGATAGGCTGGATAAGCATAAAGTGACAAATATATGATCGTTCATGTTATATGAAAAAGCGTAATTCTTACATTTCTGTCATACAATATGAATCGAAAACGCGTTAATTGTGTCACACGCGCCTATATGTATAATATTTATAATGAATTGAAAAATTTGACACATATACTCATGAATAAGATTTATCTTCCAATTTACATTTATATCGCACATATTATGAACTTATAATGAAGTTTTCATTGTTAGAATATTGTCAATGTGGTAATACCAATCATCATGTTTAACTATTCTATAGCTCTTCTGATGTAATTCTATAACTATTTATGCTACAGCAGTGTTCAAGTTGCTATTTTCGGTCGCAGAAATATGTTCTCAATAAAATCCATAATTCAGAAATTTCTCCTGCACCGGTGATGCATAAGTGCGGTAAGAACATTGAAGAAAGTGGTTGATAGTAATTTTATGATGGCTCGTTTATATTTTCGGAATTCATGGATTTAAATAAAGCGTGATAATGAAAATTTATATAAAAGGACCTTTCTATTGTCTCTTGTTTTTTTTTTAACTGCAACTTATAATTCTAAAAAGGTGTGGTGCATCCTATGTTCGGTTTTCGTTGATTTTCCTATAATGTAGTCCGTATAATTGCTCTGAAGAATATCTTCTCATAAACTTTTTTATTGGCTTCAACCAAACAAAGTCGCCTTTAATACTGATGCTTATCCCATAAGTTATCCTGATAAATACAAACTAAAACAGTTACACTTAATTGCTAGACACGGCAATTTATTATTTTGTACAACTTACAAATTAAGTAAAATGATCTTATATTTATTTTTTAAATTAGGATCAAGACAACCAGATCCAGCTAATATATTTTTTTTATAAATGGAAAAAGTATTGGCTAATGTTTCTGTCGCAAAAGATTGGATAAGAAAAAAAATTCCTAACTCAGTTATATTATTTGTCGTTTCATTATTCATTATTCATTCCTTTTTTAGTATGAGAATCATTTCTCCTTGATAAAAAATCACCAGATGGTCGTCGAAAGGGAAGAAATCGAACCATATTTACTGGCGTACGGTGTCGTAAAAGATGCGCAAAATTTTTGGGATAAAGTTAATTTAAAAGTACCCAACCTCAAAGCACAAATTTATAATACTTACATTTTTTCTTCACTCGTATTTTCCATTGATATAAATTTATCATAATTTGAATTTTTATTTCATATATTATAAAATAATTTTACTATTTAAGAACTGGTGCACCTTTTCTGAAGGATTATTTAATGGCATTGGACATTTAGACTATTGTAAAAACCAACCAATATACTACTCGAGCATACCATTGGTAAAATAATTTTTTTCCCAATCCATTACATGTATTTGCATTTTATGTAGGACAAATATACTAAGTTTGTTCCATTTCTCGCTTGTCGACGTTTAAATCAGACCTGTTGGACCAATAATGCAAAACGAAATGAACTGTTGTGGAAACAATAGGGATGGGAACGCGACATTGTGGTGCGTCGCGTAATAATAGTAACATTGGTAATAAATAATGTAATAATTGATAATAGCATGTAATGGGATGGACGCGTCGACAAAGCATATAAATAGAATAGTTTTATAAAGGGGTTGGGGTTTAGCTTGGAGCTTAGAGTTTGGAGTTTTAGAACGCTCTTTACTTTCCCTCACTTTATTCAATAAATGCTACAACTTTGCACAATCATATTTACATTCTTTAAAGTATAAACTAAGTTTACGCCACTACAGTAAAGTAAACGACTTTAAGAGAGATGCGACGTTACTGTTGTGCACCGTAAGAGAATGACACTTGTAATCTTGAGACACGCCTAGGGAAAGCAAGTGCGCGAAAGTCGGTCAAATCCTAATCTGCCTCGGAGTTAAAGCATTACCTAGTGCCGAAATCCAAGCATTCGGATTATCGTCACACAAAGAGTTAGCTATTTCAGCAATAAACTCGCCGGTGATAATAACATTTGGTGATGACTGTGAAATAGAAACGCTTGTTAACCCCATAATTGCATGGACGAAGATTGTGTTAGTTGTGAAAAAGATAAGAAAGGAGAGAAAACCAACAGAAAGTCTTTACAAACCATTAGTAAATTCGAAGATCGTTGAGATATCGTACCAGACCCATGACCAGCCTGTGGTAGTTACGATGACATTGAATATGACACAATGGATGATAAGAAAATTGATCCCCTTACCTCTTCACAACGGAATATCCCAAATAATCTAATAAACGTACAAACAGACTGAAAATGGGAGGCGAATGTCGGAGGAAGGAGAACCCAAAAACTCAGAATTCAAAGATTTGGAGGTGGGGTAGGGGAAATTCACGATTATGGATAAGGCTCTATGACGAAACCACTGAATGAGATAACTGGACGGACAATAGAAAACTAAGGAGAGTAAGTGAGTATCTCGAAGATATTGCATTGAATTGGTACAAAGAGAGCTGGCATCGTTTCACTTGTTGGAATGACAAATACAATAACAAAGGGGGTTTCGCGCAAACATTTGTGCAACACTTCGTGATGCTCGAGCAACGGCACTAGTGGGATGAAGAATTGGAGAACATGAAACAAGAAAAGAATGAAAAAATAGTTGAGTACACTCACAGGTTTGCGAAGCTACTCGAGAAGGTCGACCTAAGGGCAACTACCATAAGATGAAGGCTTATGCTGGAATTAAGGGAAGACTTATTATCCATACCTGCTGTAAGAAGCACAACAAATCTGATAGAAGCATTCAAGGTAGTCATGGGGGCCAAAGCGGATGCTGATAACGAACGAGGATGGAACGAAAAGAGAATAATAAGGGATTACTTTCAAAAATTGAATTGGCAGGTACGCGAATGAAAAAGGAACTATAGCATACCTGTTGCTCACGTCGAGCCTGAAATCAAGAAATATCACGCAGAGGATTGGACAATAAGTAACAAGATGGTTGGAATGAAAGGTTGGAAAAAGAGTCATGCCGTAATGAAGCCATTTTCTCATGATAATACCGATAACATCCTGTTAGAGAGTGTAATTGACACTAATAGACAGGATCTTTAAAATCTAAACCAGAAGGAAACGTGGCCTAGAGAAGAGGTTAATATTAAATATGTGAGAAGAAACTTTCAATCTCAAATGATAACTCAAATGGAATACTTACTGACAATATCAACAGGGAAGAATCTTGTATAGATGATGAAAATACTTCGTGGAATGAAAGTTCAGATAAGAAAGAAAAGACTGATGAAAATAAGGAGAAGTGGTTGGTATTCTTTGAAGAAAATGAAAAGGTGACAAGGGAAGTAATTAGTAACTTTAACTCCAATGATAAGGCATGATCATATATCTCGGGCCCTACAGCGTATTTCTCAAGGTCAACAAAACTGAGAAGAAAGAAAGAGCACCAGAAGGACAATGCGGACCAATAGAAGTAAATACAGAAGAGCAAGATGTTATGGCGATGGAAGAACCATCAATGACGTACAAGAGCCAAGAAAAGAAGGAAGGGAAGAAAGAATATCTTATTGTGAAAACGTATGATGAATCAGATCCTAGTGCTGAATGGTACTTCGACAGACCAAACCCCATAGAACAATTAGTAAAATCAAGAAAAATGTTAACACTACTTGAGGAGAATTAGTCAGAGACCAAGAAAGTCAAAGAAATTAGAGTGAATGAAAGATTTGGAAGGCAACCTGGAGAAACAGAAATGTTGGCTCATATCGAAAGAAAAGAAGATTCTAGAAGAATAATCCAAATACCAGAGTACTTTGAGGTAATGCGACGTTTTGTTAATATCAACTGTAACGCATCAACAAATCAAAGTTTATATGGAAAGGACAAAAAGAAAATGTATCTGTTATTATTTAAAAAGGGTATATACCCAGCGATAAGACGTTTAGGTAGCACACTATTCCAGCATCATGGAAACAAGTTATGGAAGCATTTATATGAGAGTTTAAAAAGAAGTTAATGGTAATATATTCATGTGTCTTTGCAAAACTAGTGCTTTGCACAGTGATGATGATTTATAAGATAGTTTGAAAAAAGAATCCAGAGCTATTGATCGAGCATGAAAACATAATCCAACTCTCAATAAAAGAAACTATATACAAATAGTTTATATATGTTTATAAAAGCATCGAATCAAAAATTTTATAGGTTCTGGTTTACTCTATAAAGGAAAATCTGATACAGGGTTTTGAAAAATCTGGAATTTTTTGAAACATATCTACTTTTACGTACTAAATATCTATATGACGAAGTTTTGTCAGTTTTAACATTTTATATTGATATTTACAGTTTACATTTTATGAGTCAATTTTTTTGATTCTGATTTTCATTTTAATATTTGTATTATTTTCAAAACTAAGGGGTGACTAAAGTCAGATAAAATCATGTTACAAATATAAATCCAAAAATTAATTATCAATTAACTTATATATAATTGTATATTATTATTAATAATAAATCAAAAATGTTTTAGTATTTTTAATGTTAATAATTCTTTTGAAATTTCAAAAAATTTTAATAAAGAGTTACTGTTACTTGTTTCTAATATTTGGATTCAGTTTAGTAGCTAGAAATGTAATAATGGAAATTTTCAAGTTATTTATACTTGCAATTTCGCCAAACCTTATAAATCAAGTACATGAAAAAAATCTTTCAATTAATTAACAAAGACAAACCAGTAGATGAATTCCAATCAATGTAAAATTGTAAATGGGTAATTATTTTTGAAGGCGGACCGGAAATTTTCTGATGGGATCCTGAAATTTATACTATATATGTATTGTTTAAAAGTTGGGTCCGAAAAAATCATATCTAGCATTTTGATGCCTTCAAAAATAATTACCCAAATTTCCAAATCACTCATAAATTAAAATCATTTTTTTATGTATAGCATATTCATTTTCAATATCCTCTTATTTCATATTATGGAAGAATAATCTTTAGAAAGAAATCTTTAATGTTAATATCATGTTTATTTTTTAAAAATTGTTTTTTTAATAAAATAAACCTCAAAAAAATTTAGAACAGATAATTACTAGCCATCGGAATACAATATTACATTTTATCATCCTACATTACATAAGCCCTATCTTTTATATTTTATGATTTTATTTTAATTAATACCCTAATTCAATTTCCAAATAACTCGAAAAAAATTTTAAGGCAATTTATTAAAAAATTGTAATTTTGAGTTTGTGGTTTTTAGGCCTTAAATTTTTAATGAAATAGTCAAATTTAAAGTGATCAAATACTAGCATTGCTTAAGATATTTCGTGTGATACAATGAATTTCAAAAAATATATAATAAAAATAATAAACATAGTAATCCTTATATGAAGCTAAATCAATTTAATTAGACTAGTGAACAACTTGAAAACAAATATCATTTTGCAATGTTAAATAAGAATACTATATTTGTAAAAATAATTAAATATACCTAAATATTTGATGCGTTAAATAGATCATAAAAAAAAAAATCGAAAAATCGATAATTTAGAATCTTTAAAATTCATCAAGCCGTGTTATATGATCTTCAATTTCTGAATTCATTATTTTCTAGTAGTTAAAATAACATTCGGTGATCATTATTTGTTCAGCAATCAAAATTAGTAAAATAATGATACAATATTGTGTTTTAACTACTTGCCTTAATAGATTTATGGTTCAGATCTTTGAAGTCGAGAGTTCGACTTGTATATATTGCCGATTTATGTAAATATTTGATCGTGTAATATAAATTTGCATTCATAATTTGTTTGGCAAATGTTGAATATGGATATAACCTATAGTGACGCCATGCATTTAAAATCTCGCACAAATCGTGTGCACTAAATCGGTTCCGTGGTTCAGCATCCCAACATTTTTCCATAAGGTCAGATAGTAAACCAGGCATGTTTCTTTGAATTTCAGGTCGAAGCCCATTACAAATTTTAATTGCCAAATCTTCATCGTGTGGAACATTGTTGAAAGGAGCACCGAATAACACTTCGGACATAATAATCCCAAATGCATAAATATCTGACGCTTCTGTATATCCTTTTCCGCATAATACTTCGGGTGCTACATATGGAAGTACACCATAAACTTTTTGTTCTTTGGATTCGCTTACATTTTCATCAGTTAGTTTGCCCAAACCCAAATCCGTAATATAAGGAGATCCGTTGCTCGATGAAATGATATTCCCGGTATGTAAATTTCGATGAATTAATCCAGCTTCATGTAATTGACATATACCTGTGGCAATTTGAAATAAAATATTAAACTTCTGATTCCATGGAATTTTGTTAACTTTAGACAAATAATTTCTAATATTTTCGTATTCCATATATTTCATAACAATAATAAAATCCTTTGTTTCTTCATGTCTAGTAACTCCATAACATTGTGTGATACGAGATTTGTGGCCGCGGAGGTCGTAAAGATTCTTATTTATATAGGAATAATAGTTAAAACCACATGTATTTGTTAATAAGAAATTATTGTGATAGTAATTACCTCATTTAAAAAGTCTTTGGTTATATTTTGTGAATAATTAAAGAATCTCAGCGCAACCTTTGTATTTCCCCTCCTCCTCCACTGGCTCTCCTTTGTATCCCAACAAAGGATATCTCCGTCAACCCATTCTGCCGAGTATATTTCACTAAAGCCACCTTTCGCAACTAATTTCACATTTTTTAACCTTGAATATGGAATCCATTCAAGAATTCTATGTCTGTTAGTTACGTTTAACTGTGTTTCTTTTATAAATGCGTCAATATAATCATTTCCACTTTTCCATGTATCAAATTCTTGTTGAAAGTGATAAGAATTGCAAGGCCGGCACCAATAATCAATTACTGCATAGTGACATTGATTACACTTTCTTCCTATAATAATTGACTTAATTTCTCAAATTATAAAAAAGACGAAAATTTCCTGATTGAAATTACCCGCTAAAATTGGTATAACAATCAAATATCAACTCATTATTTAACGCGAAAATAGCAAAAATATTCTGAATTCTACTTACAATCTGTAAATTTTGGCGAAATACAATTATTCCTATTTAATACGGTCTCATGAAAACAAATAACAAAATTTCTTGAGTTCGACTTACAAGCTACAATAGTAAAGGAGATGATATAATTAAACACCACATCGTCATGATTTATCAGAAAAAGGTAAAAAAATATCTAGGTTTTAACTTACCACCTACAATAGTAAATATGATTATGATTCCATATTATTCTATTAAACAAGTAAAATTCATCCTAGATTCAACTTACTTACTATAAAAGTCGAAGATTCATAAAAATAAATTTCATTTGGATTTCATTTGGTAAACAAATAACGAATATCTCGAATTTAACTTACTAACTACGACGACAAAGAATAAAATTAAAATCTCTTTCAGCTGATTTTACAAAAAAAAACTAGAAATCCAGAAATCAACCTACAATCTAAATACGCAATATTGGAATATAAGTAATTTCATTTTATATAATAAAATTATCCTTACAGTATTCAACTTACTAACTAGAGAAATTGATCAATTATTAGATATCATTTATTGTTTTCACAAAACAAACAGCAATAATAATCCTGGATTTAACATACGATCTTCGATAGATAAAATAAGAACACAATTAAATTTCGTTTCATATAACTTTTGCAAATCAACAAAAATTCCTGAATTCAACTTACAATCTACAATAGTAAGAAAGAAAATCATGATGAGTGTATAAGATTCTTACGAAACAAACAAAAATATCCCGGTACAACTTACCGTCTAGGATATAAATGATGAAAATAAATTAGATTTCGTTTAATACATTTTTTACAAATATAATTGTCTAATAACATTCTTATTTAACTTACGGACTACAGATAATACAATTAAAACTCATTTCATGATTTGAGAAACAAATAACGAAATATTCTGGATTAAACTTACAATCTACAATGTTAAAAATAAAAATATTGTATTATTAAAAATCGGTTCATATGAATTTACGAAACAAAAAAAAAACTTTCTGGATTCAATGTACCCCCTACAAAGTTGACGATTAAAATTTATTTCATGTGATTTGACGATACAAATAATAAAATATGCTGGATTCCACTTACAATCTCCAAAAATAAAAATAATAATGCAATTAAAAATCATTTCATATGGTGTTACGAAATACTGTAAATAACAAAATATCTTGGATTGGACTTACCATCTGCAATAACATAGTAAAGAATAAGAATATAATTAAATCTTATATAATTTTAACTAAAACACAACTATACATGATTTTAGCTTACCATCTACAAAGTAAAGAATAAGAATAAATTAAATATTTTATCATATGATTTCTACAAAAACTTAATAAAAATTACGGTTCTACTTACAAGCTATAATATAATATGATGCAATTAAATTTGTTTGTGTGATTTACGATAGAATAATAAATTTTCCTGCACTTACTGCCTATAAAAAATAAGAATGATAACACAATACAATTTCATATTATTATATATGCAAATAACAAGTGTATCCTGAATTCAATTTACCATCTATAACAACGAAGAAAAGAATATTGTTTAATATTATTTTACAAAACATAAAGGTATAATGGATTCAACTTACCACCTAAAAAAGTA